AGTGGCATGATCTTGGTTCACTGCAACCTCCACCTGCCAGGTTAAGCGATTCTCTTGCCTCAGCCTCTCGAGTAGCTGGGACTACAGGCATGCGCCACCACGCCTGGCTAATTTTTATTTTTTGCTATATTTTAGTAGAGACAGGGTTTCACCATGTTGGCCAGGATGGTCTAGATCTCCTGACCTTGTGATCCACCTGCCTCAGCTTCCCAGAGTGCTGGGATTACAGGCATGAGGCACTGCGCCCAGCAGAGGGTTATCTCTTAAGTGGAGGGGCAGCAGTATTGCTTTCCTGCTTGCATAACAGGGGCTGATCTGTAGAACACTCTTTCAAGGAGCATTCACAATGGAGTGGTCTGTTCCATGTGTCTTTTTGTTAATTTTTGTTTTGTTTAAAAGACAGGATCTCCCTCTGTTGCCCAGGCTTGAGTGCAGTGGCACGATCATAGCTCACTGCAGTCTTGAACTCCTGGGCTCAAATGATCCTCCTGCCTCAGCCTTCTGAGTAGCGAGACCACAGGTACAAACCACTGTGCTTCACTAATTTTTTAATTTTTTGTAGAGACAGGGTCTTGCTATGTTGCCCAGGCTGGTCTTGAACTCCTAGTCTCAAGCAATCCTCCCACTTTGGCCTCCCAAAGTTCTGGGATCACAGGTATGAACCCCTGTGCCCCGCCCCATGTGTCTTTTAGAAAGACATTTTACCAGCCTTCACTCTCTGATAGAGAACCAGGCCACCCCACACTTAGGAAACTAAAGAATAAACTCTGAAATGTATAGTTTGGGGCTGACAATATCAGCCAAAGATATGGAGAAGAAGAGAAAACCTTTGCCTCAGTCTCTCCCCTCATGAAAACCTGAGCTTCCAAATTATCCAGGGAACTAACTATAGAAGAAAGAATGCTGATCTGGGGGTTAGAGCCTGGGCTCCAGTACTGTCTCTGTGGCTCGCTGGCCATGACAGTATTGGAAAGCCCTGGATCTTTTTGTCTTTTTCCCTTTGTATATTAAAAGAAAAAGCTGGCCCGGTGCAGTGGTTGACACCTGTAATCCCAGCACTCTGGGAGGCCCAGGCAGGTGGACCATTTGAGATCAAGAGTTCGAGACCAGCCTGGCTAACATGGTGAAACCCCATCTCTACTAAAAATACAAAAATTAGCTGGGCATGGTGGCACATGTCTGTAATCTCAGCTACTCAGGAGGCTGAGGCACAAGAATCGCTTGAACCCAGGACACGGAGGTTGCAGTGAGCCGAGCTTACACTACTGCACTCCAGCCGGGGAGGCAGAGCAAGACTCTATCTCAAAAAAAAAAAAAAAAAGAAAGAAAAAAGGAAAAACTGACTGGGTATTTCCAGGTTTGGTATTTTTATGATTCAATAACATGAGAGATATTTTATTAGAAGTAAGAAAAGTAGGGAAAATCAGAGAAAGTAATCTTAGAATCATTAGCGTTCAAGAGGCAATGATGTAAACATAAACGTGAACTTGCTCCTGGATTGTTTCTTCAGAGACATGCACAACATAGTAGAACAGTCAGTATTCACCCTCAGTTAAAGATTTCCAGTTCTATGGGCAGATGAAAGCACACATCTCTTCTTCCTTGACAGGAGGAGAACAACCTGTAGGATGGGGTCTTCTGCCTTTGGGCACTTGTCACAATATGACTTGTTCTCTAACAATCCCAAGACTCCCAAGTTTCCAGATTTCTGTAGTACCATCTTATCTGGGGCTGGGGAAGACTACAGGATAGTGATAGTGATAGTGATAATGAAATGGTTAATCGGGAACACCTGCTGAACAGCACTAGCTGACAGGAGAGAAGAAAAGTCATACCCTTACACAGTGAATCCTACAATCTCTGTTTCTGCTATTGGGTAGAATATGCCTTCAGTCAATCTGGAAGCAAGTCATCTCACCAAAGGCATGTTCTGCCGTGCCTTTTATTGTAATATGACAAAACAATTATTTTTTAATCTTATTTTTCATTTTTTAAATTTTTTTGTAGAGACAGGGTTTTGCAATGTTGCCCAGGCTGGTCTTGAACTCCTGGCCTCAAGTGATCTGCCTGCCTCAGCCTCCCAAAGTATTAGGATTATAGGTGTGAGCCACCATGCCCAGCCTAACAAAAACCATTTAGATGAACATCAAAAACAGAAAAAATTAATCCATGGTGACAAAAGTCACAAAAATAGGGGTAGGGAAATTTATTGCATCAGGTGCAAGGGAGCTTTTTGGGTTGCTGGAAATGTGCTGTATCTTTAGCTGTATCTCTAGCTGATCTATATCTCTACATAGATCTATATTTATATCTCTAGATATCTATATATTATCTATCCCAAATATTTGTGGGCTTTATTGTACCTGAGTACCTTAAACAAATGCACAAATAAAAATAGCTGAATACCTTGTCTTGCTTCTTGGTTATATGTCCTGAGTCATATAAGTTGTTTAAGAAGATGTTGCCACACTGTTATGCAAAGTGGTTGTATTAGTTACCATGAAGGTATGAGGGTACCAATTACTACGTATCTCACCAACACTTGGCAGTCCTTTTAAGTTTAGCCATATTAGTGAGTATGTACCATTAACATCCTGTACTTTAATACATTTCTAGATGGCTAATTTTTTCATATTCTTATTGGCCATTCAGATGTTCTCTTTTGTAAAGTGCCCACCTATTCAAGTCTTTTGATCCTTTGTCTATTAGGTCATCTATCTTTTTCTTAATGGTTGTGGCGGTTTTTATATGCACTGGATACATGGTCTTTGATAAATGTATTGAAAATAGGAAAATATCTTCTCCTAGTCTTGTTCCTGCCTTTTCTTATTCTCTTTGTATTGTATTTATTACTGTGTTTTTTAAGTGAAGTGAAATTTACACAGAAGATAATGGGCAGATTTTATGTATATAGTTCAGTGAACTTTCATAAATATACATGTAACCAAGACTCAACTCAATACATAGAGCATTTCTATCACCCCAGAAAGTAGGCTCTTGCCTGCTTCTTTTCAGTCCTCACACCTATAGGCAATCACTGTACTGATTTATAATATCATAGATTAGTTTTGCCTGACACTTAATGTCAATTAAATCATACAATATATACTCTTTTATCTCTGGGCTTAACTTTAGATATTTTCTACTGATCTATTTTCCAATTCTCTAATCCTGTCTTCTGTTGTGTGCAGTTTGCCATTATACCTATACAGTGAATTCTTAATTTCAAATATTGGATAGTTCAGTTCAAGAATGTTTGCTTGATTCTTTTTAAAATAGATTCCAATTTTCTAGAAATTGCCCATTTTTAAATCCATTTTGTCAACATTTCCTCTCTTTTATTTAATGTATAAACATAGTTATACTCAAGTCCTTGTTTGCTAACTCAGGTAATGGGATCATCTGTATGTCAACTTTTATTGTATATTTTTTCTCTTGATTGTTGGTCACATTTTCCTGCCTTTTGCAATAATTCATGTTGTGCACTGAATGTTATTTATATTAGATTCATAGAAGCCCCAGATGATGCCTCTCACCAGACAGATACCTCCCTTTTCTTTGTTAGGCAAGTAGAGGAAGGTAGGCTGGCTACCTAAAGCCAACTACAGCTTGAGTTAGGTTAGGGCTGAGTTTCAGTTCTAGTAAGATTTAGTCCAACTTTGGTTTGTTCTTCTTCCTAAGGTATGGCCCTTCTGAGTTTTGGGTTGATAGCCTGGTTGATCCTTGTCTCCTTAGCCCTGAAGGAGGGTGGGAGATTTGCATCTACCCTTGGTGATTTTGAGCTTAAGTCATTAGCTGCATTCCCCATCCTTCCTTTTCCCTCCCACTACATGCACACATAGCCTCAAATCTTTGTAAAATGTTTTGAGGGGAATATCAATATTTGTGTGAGGAAATTCCTCTTCCTCCATTCTCTTAAGGGATTACAGGAGATTTTGTCTTTTAAAGGCCCTCAGCCCAGCTTTCTAGCCTCCCTTCCATAGCCAGAATTCAAAAGATGTCCCACGGGGAAAAGTGACGCAGTTGCAGTGCCTCAAATTTCCAGTATGTTTTGTAAGCCTTTTTTGACTATCACAAGTCTTACTGGTTTCTCTTTCTCTCATCTATGACTCTCTGCCTGGTCCAAGTCTAAGCCACACCATGGTCCCCAAATCAAATACTCCCAGAGAACAAAAGAGCTGGTGATTACTAGTTAATTTTGAAGGGTTCCCACCCCTTGAAGTTTGACTTCATCTCATCCTTATTGCACTCATTATTCCTCAGTTTGTTTAAAAATGTGATTTGTGTAATTTATCCAGGTTTCCCTAGTCTTCGAAGTGAAGGTATTGGGCTATCATAACCTATTACAATCTATGCAGGAGCAGAAGTCCAGACACTTAGCTTAAATGGAGTCAGAAAGAACCACTACTCATACAAGAAAGAAACATAATAAGAGTGTGAGCAGCTGTACATTACAGACAGCCTTGGAAAAAGAAGCCCCTCAGCAGAACTTGGTGGAACTCTGAGCGAGTGCAAAAGTAGAAACATGGACTCAAGGACTTGATTTATGAGATCTGACATCAGCCCGAACCACACAGCATGGAACCTAAGATGAAGACCAGCAGAAGCCTTTCCAAAGCACTTTCACAATCATAATTCAACCATCAACTGTTTAGATCAGATTTTCCCAGTAAAATATAAACTCTAGGAAGACAGGAACTTTGCCTGCCTTCTTCATTTTGATCATTTCATCTCCTAAACAAAGCGTACAGACTTCTATTTGGTAGGTTATTCATTAATGATTAATATTTGACAAATTTTGGGTTCACATGGTAAAAGTCAATATCATAGCCCACCACCAGTCCTCTAGAGTTGGTTGTAAATAATTGTGCTTATATTAACTATAGAGTAAACATTATAGAATTACTACTCCAGAATCCTTTGTTTCTATGATTTCCAGATGTTCCCAGTGTCTAGATGTTCCAGCTGCCCATCTCTGAGAAATCCGGCTCTGTCTCACCATGGATGCCACAGCCTGTAATGAATCAGCGGATGGCTCACGCTCACCTGTCTTTTATCTGGTGGGCATCCCCTCTCTACCAGAGACCTTCTTCCTCCCTGTGTTTTTTATTTTCCTCCTCTTCTACCTCCTTATCCTGTTGGGTAATGCCCTGATCCTGGTGGCTGTGATGGCAGAGCCAAGCCTCCACAAGCCCATGTACTTCTTTCTGATCAATCTCTCCACCTTAGACATCCTTTTCACCACCACTACTGTCCCTAAGATGCTCTCCCTATTCTTGCTTGGGGACCGCTTCCTCAGCTTTTCTTCCTGCTTGCTGCAAATGTACCTCTTCCAAAGTTTTACATGTTCAGAAGCCTTCATCCTGGTGGTCATGGCCTATGACCGCTATGTGGCTATCTGCCACCCATTGCACTACCCTGTCCTCATGACCCCACAGACCAATGCTACCTTGGCAGCCAGTGCCTGGCTCACTGCCCTCCTCCTGCCCATCCCAGCAGTAGTAAGGACCTCCCAGATGGCATATAACAGCATTGCCTTCATCTACCACTGTTTCTGTGATCACCTGGCTGTGGTCCAGGCCTCCTGCTCTGACACCACCCCCCAGACACTCATGGGGTTCTGCATCGCCATGATGGTGTCCCTCCTACCCCTTCTCCTTGTGCTTTTCTCCTATGCCCACATCCTGGCCTCGGTGCTTCGCATCAACTCCAGAGAAGGACGGGCAAAAGCCTTCTCCACCTGCAGCTCCCACCTCCTGGTGGTGGGCACCTACTACTCATCCATTGCCATAGCCTACATGGCCTACAGGGCTGACCTGCCCCTCGACTTCCACATCATGGGCAATGTGGTATATGCCATTCTCACACCAATTCTCAACCCCCTTATTTACACTCTGAGAAACAGGGATGTAAAGGCAGTCATCGCCAAAATCATGTCTTAAGACCCAGGCTGTGACAGGAGCATTTGACCTTTAAATGCAGCTAATTCTGCTCCCAGGACACTAAATAACAGTGCTTAGCACAGAGTAAGGACTCAGTACACATTGTTGAATAAATAAATTAATGAATATAGAATGGTAAAAGAAAATCCAGTTGGGCAGACAGCTACAACAGTGGTTCTCATACTTTGTTCCAGGACTTTCTCCCTGCACCAATGATATAATGTTAATATTTATAGGAATCTGAAGTTGTTGTATAAAATTTGACTACTTAGTAATTCAAGAAACCTTTACTAAAATATCTTCATGACAAAAACATTCTTCTAAGCAAAGTCAAAAAACAAATAAAAGACATATCACAGGGAAAGGCAAATATTCATATTATACAAAGAGCTCTTAAGAATGTAGAAAACTAAAATAAGCATTTCAGTAAGAACTTGGGCAAAATATATGCGTAGACAGATCACCAAGAAACTGTAGTGGCCTTTAAATAATGAGTCTTTACTATATAAAGAGAATACAAATTTAAATTGTGCTGAAATGCTATTTTTCATTTAATCAGATTAGCAAAAATCCAATATTTTGGCAAGATGTATGTAGAAAAACAGAACTTTTATAACTTGCTTGTGAAGATGTAAATTGGTATAACACTACGACAATATGTACCAAAAGTACACATGCATTTACCCTTTGACTTAGCAATATCACTTCTAGGGACCTATTCCAGGGAGTCACTGTCAATCATCCATTAAGTTACTTATTCATCACTATATAAGGAATTGATTGAATAAACTATAAAAATGCATGATGCAGTAATAAAAAGGAAATGAAGAAGCTCTCTGTTTACTGATATGGTGTCATCTGGAGGATAAGTGTTAAGTGAAAAAAGCAAGCTGCAGAAAAGTGTTTTGTAAGAAAGGAGATAGTTTGCTTAACATTTCAGGAAAAAACTAGGGGAAAATGTGAACTCAAAAAGATGGTTATCTATAAGGAGAGGGAGGAAACAGGGAGGACAGGACTGGAATGGAAGCAAGACTAGACATATGTAATTTTTTTTTTACACAGTTCAAAGAAAACAGAAAGAAAAAACCTACAATTTCCCCAATTTAAAATAAACAGAAGCACTTGACCCTGGCTGTCTCTCAGGGTTAGTGGCATGACCACACAGAAAATTACCGTAAGTGACTTATACAATGTTTTGACTATACATTTTAAAAAGGATATATTATAAAAGGGATATATTATAAGGACAAGAAAAATCACATCTTAAACTGCATTGAAGAGTTTTGTTTGTTTGTTTGTTTTTTTCTAAGAAGAGGTCTTGCTCTGTTACCCAGGCTGGAGTTCAGTGGTGCTATGTCAGCTCACTGCAGCCTTGACCGCCAGGGCTCAAGTGATCCTCCCACCTCAGCTCCTGAGTAGCTGGGACCACAGGTATGCACCACTATACTCAGCTAAAGGAATTTTTAAAACATGCACATTATAATTTACTTCCTTAATATATATTAGATATAAATTACATATTTCTATAATCAAAACCATTTTTATCATTTTATTTTGCCATGATTTTATATTTACAGAGAGTTTCAAAGATAGTATAAGAGTTCCCATACATCCTTCCCCCAACTTCCTCTGTGTCAACATTTTACATAGCCATGACACATTTATCAAAAGTAAGAAGTTAACATTGGTAAAATACGCACCATTAATTATACTAGAGACTTTATTCAGATTTCTCCAGTTTTTCCAGTAATGTCTTCTTTCCATTCCAGGGTTCAATCCAGAATGCCACATTGCATTTTATTATCATATCTTCTTAGTTGCCTGACAGTTTATTGGTCTTTCCTTGTCTTTTGTCACCTTGACACTTTTGAAGAGCCAATAGTAAATTTAAATGCATATGACTAAGTGAAAGAAGCCAGTCTAAAAAGATTACATACTGTATGATTTTAACTGTATGACATTCTGGAAGGCAAAACTATGAAGGCAGTAAAAAGACTAGTGGCTGCCAGGGATTAGGAGAAGGGAGGGATTAATGGGCAGAACACAGAGGAATTTTAGGACAGTGAAACTATTCTGTATGATACTACAATGGTGGGTACACGTTATATATTTGTCAAGACTCATAGAACGTATAACACCAAGAGTAAACTATGGGCTTTGGGTCATAATGGTGTGCCAATGTAGGTTTGAATGTAACAAATGTAACCACTCTGGTGGGGGATGTCATTCTAACAGGTATGTAGTGGTATCTTACTGTGGTTGTAATTCAATTTAATTACATTTCCCTAAGGCTAATTGTGTTGACCATCTTTCATGTGCTTATTTTCCATCCATATATCTTTTTTGGTGAAATCTGTTCAGATCTTTTGCCTGCTTTTTAATCTGGATTGTTTGTTTTCATATCATTGAATTTCAAGTGTTCTCTATATATTCTAGTTATACATCCTTTATTAGATATTTGATATACAAGTAGTTTCCCTAGGCAATAACTAGTCTTTGCATTCTCTTACATTGTCTTTTGCAGAGCAAAGGTTTTTAATTCATATAAAGCCTAACATCATTTTTTTCCCATATGGATTATGCTGTTTGATAAAATAACTAAATACTCATCACCAAACCAAAGATCATGCAGATTTTGCCCTATAGAAAGCAAAGTTTCTAGATGTTTTCTATTTTATATTTCATTCTACAAACAATTTTGAGTTACTTCTTGGATAAGGTGTGAAGGTTTAGGTTGAGATTCAATTTTTTTTTTTCTTACAGACATCCAATTGTCCAGCACCATTTGTTATAAAGCCTGTTCTTTATCTATCAAACTGCCTTTACACTTTTGTCAAATATCATTGATTATATTTGTATGTATCTATTTGTGGGCTCTCTATTCTGTTCCACTGATATATATGTCTATCCCTCTACCAATACCACACAGTCTTGAATACTATAGCTTTATAGTTAGTGTTAAGATTTCATAATGTGACTTCTCAGACTTTGTTAATTTTTTAAAATAATTGTTTGGTTATTCTAGTTCCTTTGTCTTTTGATATAAATTTTAGAATGAAGTTACTGGGATTTGGGGAGGGGAGGGATTATGTTGAATCTGTAGATTAAATTTGGGACAATTGACATTTTAACAATGTTGAGTCTTCCAATCCATGAACATAATATATCTCTCCATTTACTTAGCTCTTTGATTTTATTCATCAGTATTTTGTAGTTTTTTTTATCTAAGTATATTTTTCTATCAGCCTGTTAAGATGATGATTTTTTAATTGTTTTTTGAACATTGAACAAACTGTATTCCTAGGATGAACCCCATTAGGTTGTGATATATGATGTCCTTTACATATTACTAGGTTTGACTTGTGAATATTTTGTTTAGGATTTTTATATCAATGTTTATGAGAGACACCAGAATATAGTTTTCTTGTAATTTCTTTGTCTGGTTTGGTATTAGATAAATACTGGCCTCATAAAATGAGTTAGGAAGTTTTCCCTTCTCTTCTACATTCTCGAAAACATTGTGTAGAATTGGTGCTATTTCTCCCTTAAATATTTGGTAGAATTTGCCTGTAAAATTTCCAGGGCCTGAAATTTTCTTTCATGAAGTTTTTAACTGCAAAATCAACTGTTTAACTGATATAGAAATTTTTCAATTATCTATTTCTTGTTGAATGAAATTTAGCAATTTCTGCCTTTTAAGGAATTTGTCCATGTTGTCCAAATTTTAGAATGTTTAAACATAGAGTTGTTTGTACTGTTCCCTTATTATCCTTTTAATGTCTGTGGTATCTCTTCTTTCATTCCCAGCATTGGTAATTTGTATTTTCTGTGATTTTTTTCTTGGTCAGTTTAGCTATAGGTTTATCAATTTATTAATTTTTCAAAGAGTCAGCATTTAGTTTGTTTCTTCTCAATTGTTTTCCTATTTTCAATTTTATTGATTCTTCCTCTAATCTTTATACTTTTTTTCCTTCTACATACTGTGGGTTTAATTTGATCATTTTTCTAATTTCTTGACATGGGAGATTAGATCATTGATATGAGACTTTTATTTTTCAGTGTAAGCATTGAAGTCTGTACATTTCCCAATAGCTCCTGCATTAGCAACTATACACAAAGTTTGATATGTTGCATTTTTATTTTCATTCATTCAAAATGTATTTTAAATTTCCCCTAAGACATCCTAATTGAACCATGGTTATTTCAAAGTGTTTTTATTTAATTTCAAAACATGTAGAAGTGTTTCCCAATCACTTTCTGTTACTGTTCTCTAATTCCATATGGTTCAGGAATATACTTTGTATGATTACGATTCTCTAAAAAGTTTTTCTATTCTTTTAAATTTGTTAGTTAATGACATAAAATATGATAAATCTTGATGAATGTTCTATTCACTCTTGGAAATGTATTCTGCTATTATTGGAGTATTATATAAATGTCAATTAAGTCTAGTTGTTTGATAGTGCTGTTTAGGCCTTCTATATCTTGACTGATTTTCTATCTGCTTGTCCTATCAATTCCTGAAAGGAAAATACTAAAGTTTCTAACTATAATTATGGATTTGTCCATTTCTCCCTTCAATTTTACCAGTTTGTAAGAAAATTTCCACTTTTTAGATTCAGGGGGTATACATGCAGATTTGTGACACAGGTAAATTGCATGATGCTGAGGTTTGGGATATGAATGATCCCGTCACCCAGAGAGTCAGCATAGTACCCAACAGTTAGTTTTTCAAATCTCAATGCCCTCCCTCCACCCTCTATTAGTCCCCAGTTTCTGTTGCGATCTTTATGACCATCAATACCCAGTGTTCAGCTTCCAGTTATAAGTGAGAGTATGCAGTACTTGGTGTTCTGATCCTGTATTAATTTGCATAGGACAACAGGCTCCAGCTGCATCCATGTTACTGCAAAAGACATGATTTCATTGTTTTTTAAGGCTATGTAGCATTTTTTAAGATGGTCTCATGCTGTTGCCCCAGGCTAGAGTGCAGTGGCATG